TATGATTGGACTGTTTCGATTTTTATTTTTATGTCAATAGGACTGCCTATTGCAGTTGTTTGTATGAACAAGTGTGGTAGAGTAATGTAACATACTAGCCTGATAAGTTGAAGTTGGAATAGAATAAGGACTTGAACATCTTAAGTTTGATACCTCCATATTATTAATCATCACCTTAGTCTAGTTATCCCGTATCTATTTCTGAAATTATTTGCAGCAAGTAGTGGATAAAATTGAACAACTCGAAATAGGTTCAGTAGTATTTTTCCGTGTGAATTTGCTTAAGTTCCAGTTCTGATTGAGGTCTGTTAACGGATCGAGGCTTAACAACCTATTTTTGAATAACGTGGGCACTAGTCTCTACTGATATGTGACCCTGTCCAGTAGCCCCTCACTTGGGCCGGCGTTAGCCCTGGGTTTAATTGGCCTCTCGGGATCTGGGCTGGTCAATGTGTCTTTCTATTTGGGTTAAGTTGAAGCCCAATGTGACGAAAACCCAATCCACCGTAGGTTCTGGTACGGGTTTTGGACCGCCCAGGCAAGTATTAATGAAATTAAACGGCGTTACAGGTATAGTCACTAATAGAAGAATTATAGTCCTTTTAGGATATCCTTTAAATACTCGAGGTGCGCCGCGCCAAATAGAATCACAAATTGCATGGCCCCCTTAATCGTATTTAAAATATTTAGACCCCGGGAAGAGCCATTTAGCGAATTTCATGGTCTCTCACAAAGTTAATAATATGCTAGTTGCTTTAGGCGTGTATTTTAGTAATATTACTTTCCTAAATTCGGGTGCACATTTATGTGACCCAAATCCAAATCTCAACGAAGTCGAGATGTGTTAATAATCACGGGTGCACTGGTGCGACGTGGTTTGAGGCGCATTTTCACGACGTTGCAATTCTTATTAAAAATAGAAATAAAAGCGGTTTACTAGTAAAAGCGCATAAGCCAGAACATGTTTTTGAAATCAGATAAAATCAAATATAACAGTTGAGCGACCGTGCTAGAACCACGGAATCCGGGAATGCCTAACACCTTCTCCCGGGTTAACAGAATTCCTTACTCGGATTTCTGATTCGTGGACTGGTAACAGAGTCATAATTTCCTCGGGTCGGGATTCAACCGGTGACTTGGGACACCATTAATCTCCCAAGTGGCGACTCTGAATATTAATAATAAATCCCGTTCCGATTGTCCTTTAATTGGAAAAACTCCTTTACACCCTAGCGGGTGTAGGTAATTAGGAGGTGTGACAGCTCTGGCGACTCTGCTGGGGATTCAAACCCAGAATCTCTGGTTCAGGGTTCAGAATTCGAGCTTAGATATATTGTTGTATTTGGGCTACCACACCCGGCTGAGCTGCTCCAACTGGCTGAACTGCTGGAGTCTGAAACTGGGGAGCTACCTGGTCCGGAGTGCGAGTAGCAGGAGTCTGGGCTCCTCCTCCAGCCTGAGAGACGGCTGGTGCTACAGGAAGCAAGCCTGCCCGGGTGGCACTCTCCATAAGGCCCACTAAACGGACCAAAGCATCCTAAAGAACTGGGGTGGCAATAAACCCCTCTGGGACCTGAGCTGGGACCACCGGAGCTGCTGGGGCCGGAACCTCATCATCAAAATTAACCTGAGGCTCCACTGCTGGTGCTGCCGCTCTAGGCTGAGCTCTGCCCCTACCTCGGCCTCTAGCACGGCCTCGGCCTCGGCCTCGGCCTCGGCCTCGCCCTCTGCCCCTCGTGTGAGCTGCTGCTGGGGGCTCGGGCTGCTGGTCAGCAGATGAGGAAGCGCGTTTTCTCGGCATCTGCGAGAGAGCAGAATAGAAATTCAATCAGCATTGAGAAACCAAACCGCACGACAGGAAAGAAAAGATGTGAAATTTTCCTAACTCTGTAGCCTCTGGGGGATAAATACAGACGTCTCCATACCGATCCCTTAGACTCTACTAAGCTTGTCTGTGACCTGTGAGACCCATGTAACCTAGAGCTCTGATACCAACTTGTCACGACCCGGATTTTCCACCCTCGGGGGTCGTGATGGCGCCTACTAATGTGAGCTAGGCAAGCCAATTTTTTTGAAACTAATTACTTCATTATCCATTTATTCCTTTTTATCAAACACAAAGCGATAACATATAAACAGCGAAAAGTTAAATTAAGTGGAAGAATATAATGAAATATCTGGAATCTATGTCTATTACAATTACTCAAGCCTTAACCACCCAAAACCTGGTGTCACAGTGTCACAGACAGTCTAAGATTCACTACACACAAAGTCTGAAGAAATAACAGTACACTGTTTCTGAAATAAAGAAAATGAAACAGGGAATAGAAGATAGAGGAGACGCCAGGGCCTGCGGAAGCCTGCAGGTCTACCTTGGATCTCCCGGTGGACTGAAGGTAACCACCTGATCTACTGTCTAAAATCTACAGCACTGGATCTGCACAAAAGTGTGCAGAGCGTAGTATCAGCACAACCGACCCCATGTGCTGGTAAGTGCCTAGCCTAACCTCGGCGGAGTAGTGACGAGGCTAGGACCAGACTACCAAATAAACCTGTGCAATTCAAATATATATAGCGGAAGAGAAATACGGAAATAAACAAGTAAAGATGGGAGGGGGAAACATGCTTCGGGGAAAAACAACAGGATATCAATAGAATATAAAGGAATCAAAATCCAACCACTAACAAGAATAAAGAAAAACAAAGGCAGATTTCACTTTCTCTTCACATCTTGTTGCAGGCGTGCAACCCGATCCCATTTCTCATATCTTGTGGCAGGCGTGCCACCCGCTCCCATTTTATGTATCTTGTGGCAGGCGTGCCACCCGCTCCCATTTCATTATGTCTTGTGGTAGGCGTACCACCCGCTCCCATTTCATTATATTTTGTGGTAGGCGTACCACCCGCTCTCATTTCATTATATCTTGTGGTAGGCGTACCATCCACTCCCATTTCATTACCAACAATAATCACAAGGAATCCCGACAAGGGAACAATAATATCAAACAAACATCCCGGCAAGGGAACAATAATATCTCAACAATATCCCGGCAAGGGAACAATAATATCAAACAAATATCCCGGCAAGGGAACAATGATATCTCAACAATATCCCGGCAAGGGAACAATAATATCAAACAAACATCCCGACAAGGGAACAATGATATCAAACAGATATCCCGGCAAGGGGAACAATGATGATAATAACATGTGAGGCACAATAAACCACAACGGAGTCATAACAACATAACACAAGACTCACGGGCATGCTTTACACTGATGTATAGATACTCGTCACCATGCCTATACGCCGTACTCCACAATTAACACGTAACAAATAGACACAACTCCTAATCCCTCAAGCTAAGGTTAGACCAAACACTTACCTCGATGCCACGAACACAATTCACGATTCAATTATAGCTTTACCCCTTGATTCCACCACTAATTCGCTCGTATCTAGTCACAAGTTATTTAATTACATCAATAAACGCTAAATGAATCAACCCCAATGCATGAAAATGAGTTTTCCAAAGTTTTACTCAAAAAGTCAAAAATCGCCCCCGGGCCCACATGGTCAAAACTCGAGGTTCGAACCAAAACTCGATCACCCATTCTCCCACGAACTCAAATATATAATTTGTTTTGAAATCGGACCTCAAATCGAGGTCCAAATCCCCAATTTTTGAAAATCCTAGGTTCTACCCAAAACACCCAATTTCCCCCATGAAAACCATTGATTTGAAGTTGAAATCATGTTAAAAGATGTTAAGAATTGAAGGAAGTTAGTTAAACTCGACTTACAATTGATTTGGAGAAGAAGAAATCCTTGAAAAATCGCCTAAGTGTGTTTTTGTTTTGAGAGAATGTGGAAAATGGGTTTAAAATCGTCTAAGTATAAAAGTTGCAGGTCTCAGATGTGGGAATTGCGAACAGGGTTTGGGAATTGCGAAGCTTGGGAATTGCGAACAGGGTTTGGGAATTGCGAAGCTTGGGAATTGCGAACATGGGTTTGTGAATTGCGAAGCCTGGGAATTGCGAACATGGGTTTGGGAATTGCGAAGCCTGAGAATTGCGAAGGGAGGTTGGGAAATGCGAAGCCTGCAGGCCTGTAATTCCTTAAGTCCAAAATTTCACCCCGTGGCCTATCCAAAACTCACCCGAGCCCTCGGGGCTCCAAACCAAATATACACACAATCGCAAAAACATCCTATGGACCTATTCGTGTACTCAATTCACCAAAATAACATTATGAACATCGAATTAAACCTCAAGACCAATGAAATTTCTCAAAACTTCTTTAAACATCAAATTTGCATTTAAGGTCCGAATCACGTCAAATGGATTCCGTTTCTTACCAATCTTCACAGAATTATCTTAAACCATATAAAAGACCTGTTCCGGGCGCCGGAACTAAAATACGGGCCCGATACCAACATGTTCTAATCAAATTTCATTTCCAAATCCTTTAAACAATTTTAGAAAACAATTTTCTTCAAAAATTCATTTCTCGGGCTTGGGACCTCGGAATTCGATTTCGGGCATACGCCCAAGTCCCATATTTTCCTACGGACCCTCCGGGACCATCAAATCACGGGTCCGGGTCCGTTTACCGAAAACGTTGACCGAAGTCAAATTAATTCATTTTATAGTCAAAATTTATCATTTTTCACAGAATTTCACATATAGGCTTTCCGGCTACGCGCCCGGACTGCACACGCAAATCAAGGTGATGCTAAAAGAGGTTTTTAAGGCCTCAGAATGCAGAATTCATTTTAAAAACAAGTGATGACCTTCTGGGTCATCACAAAATGGCAATCTATTTCTATGTGTTTTGTTCTTTCATGATACATAGGATTTGCAGGAATTTGCAATGTTGCCTTATTATCACAGAACAGCTTCATAGGCAGCTTTAGGTTCACACTCAGCTCTTCCAATAGACCTTTTAACCACACAAGTTCAGCTACAGTGTGTGCCATGCTCCTATACTCAGCTTCAGCTCAGCTTCTAGACACAGTATGTTGCTTCTTAGCTTTCCAGGATATGGTTGAAATCCCAAGTTCAACACAGTATCCAGTAACAGATTTTCTTAACATAGGACACGATGCCCAATTTGAATCACAGAATGCTTCTATTTCTTCATTGTTATCACTTGACATTAATAGCCCCAACCCTGGTTGCTTCTTAATGTACTTTACTACATGAAGTGCTTCTTCATAATGAGACTTCTTAGGTGCATGCATAAACTGGCTTAGTGACTGCACTGCATATGAGATATCTGGCCTTGTTATTGTAAGATACAAAAGCTTTCTTATGAGCCTTTGATAGCTCCCCATGTCTTCCAGCAGCTCATCTCCCTTACTTGTGTCTGTGCAAGTGTCAAACTTAGTGCTTTTCAGCTTCAAGTTCTGCTCTATTAGTGTCTCTTTGGGCTTAGAACCTGCCAAGCCTACATCAGAAATAATCTCTAAGGCATATTTTCTTTGAGTCATAAGAATGCCCTCTTTTGCTCTAGCAAATTCTATGCCTAAGAAGTATCTAACTTCTCCAAGTTCTTTCATCTTGAAGTGTTGATATAGAGACTCCTGTGTATTTTTAATTTCATGTAGCTTGTCGACGCCCCCTTTTTCTCTAAAGCGAGATCGGATTTATGACATTCGGGAAGACAACTCTATTCCCGTTTGGGAATTGGGTTTTTTGAATTTGAAGAGTCGCCACCTAATGATTAAGTGCATTAGGACACTAAGGGTTTTGAATTTGAAAACCAGAGTTCTGGTAAGGGCTAGAAATTATCTCGAGGGGAAGGTGTTAGGCACCCCTCAAGATCTACTAGTGTGGTTCCCGGCTATGCTACAATTGTGACTTTAAAAGTAAACAATCAAGGGTCAAATAAGAACTTGCATACAACATTGCAATTAGGTTGAAACTTGTGAAAGCAAGTAGAAAGAGAGCAGAATTTTGAGAGGCTTAAACAATTCTAAAGAAAGCAATCAAAGACAAACAAAGGAAAAGGGGTCCTAGGTTTGTGATTAATGTGGATCACTTCAATGCAATACCCAGCAATCACTCCTCAAAAGAGGGGTTGCACGTGATATTAGCGCATCGGTCATCATCTCCATATTCTGCCCTTCCCACCCCGTAAAGGTTATTTAAACGCGTGATTGGGTCACGAAAGCTTATTGCGTGCCATTACCCGTCCCTTCCTATAAGTCCTAGAGGGTGTTTAGGACTACTATTCCTACAGGGTAAGGACTAGGCTGAACCCTTAGGTTTAAAGAACAAAATGCTAGGCGACATGCATAACAAGTAGGACTACACATAAAGGGAACATACAAAGGCAAATAAAAGGTTTCACAAATCCCTCCACAAATAAACATGTAATCAGCACGTCTCAAACACACTTAAGGTCTCAAAGGTAGAGATTTTTAAAGAAAAGGAATGAGTGACAGCAGTCGGAGTAAGTAAAATAGCTAAGGGAACTGTTAAAGCCTGGTTTGAAAAGGTAAAGACTTGAAAATACAGTAGTTTAAATCAAAGCAACACGATTCTGGGCAGAAAAGGTAGCCCAGCAGTTTGAAAACTTAATCGAGCAAGAATCAGAAAACCAGTGAGACTAGATACGTGATTTCAAAAGACTTGTTTCCAGATAGAGATGGATTTTCAGTAAAAGAGTGACCTCCAGAGAGTCACAACAGGAATGAGAGCGGTAGAATTTAAATTAAACAAAAAGCTGATTAGTCTTAAATTGATAAGAACATGGTTAATCGATTCTTATTAGGGCTTAAAGCTTGCCTAGGCGACGTATAGGTTGCCTAATTACCCTAAAGGGGTGAACATGCATATTAATCCCAGTTTTAAAAGGACACAGTTAACCAAACTTGTATTAACGGTTTTAACCATACTGGTGAGGCGTTCAGCTAATTGCAACTCGGACAGAATAAAACCCTAAGTGACATGGTGTCTAATGCACACAATAGTCCTAAAACATGGTCTCTAAATGCCAGTGAGAATGCAGCAGTAGTTTTATGACAATTACTTGTTGGTTATTAACGGATCATGATTACGAAATGAGTATGATAACTGGCTGAAAATAAGAGCCTAAAAACAGGATTGCTAGTATATGAGATGCATGTCCTATACAGGATATCTATTGCACAAATAAGTAAGTAAAGTCCTATAAGCATGTTTTCTACCCATTACTTTAAACTAAGCATGCATAACCCCTCCTAATTTCACTATAACCCCAATCAGTTGTTTACGAGTTATTACAAACCATGATAGCTGAATTACAGTAATAAAGAAAAATAAGAAGTTATTCTATAGGGAGGCTTCAACCAGGCCCAATCTTCCAACCTCACTTCTTTCAAGTTTCACAGCCATGGTCTGGGTGCGGCAAAGCTCCCTAGGGCCCCATTGGGTCCCTGGCCAATACCGGCACCCAGATATTTACCAAAAAAATGTTGAACAAGTGCAGTGTGGAATTACCAACCTTGTGCGTCAAAGTTCAGTGGGTACTCAGAGGTACCCAAAGCAATGCTTACACGAAGGGGGTAGAACCTAATCTCTAAGAGTAGTGAGAGTGTGTGATAGAGTTTTTTAAAGAAATTGAGTTGAGAAAGGAAAACAGTTTAAAAATGATCCATATAGAATCAGTTTAAGAAAACAATAGAAGAGTGTGACAGTTTTTGTAAGAAGGTGAGACAATCTCAGACTGGAATATCACACATAGTTCAGGGAAGCAAACACAAACAGGGGACAGGGGACATGGGGACAAGTAGTTCACATGTAAGAGCACAATTGCACATACATAGACATCAGAGAAAAAGCATTTCAGAACTTAAACAGTCACAACATGTTTTATCCTAAAAGGTTCAGGATTACATGCTGATAATGTACTGGGGTTAGGGGTAAGGAAGAACATGCATTAAACAAATAAGGGAAGCAGTAGGCATGCTGAATTAAAGGAAAGATAGTCACATCAATGAACTTACACAGAGGCATGCTAATCGCAATGAGAACAGCAGAACCATAAGTAGAAGCATAAAAGAAACAAGAATCTTAACAGAACTGAAACATGTTGTTTTGGGATACTGTAAACTTAAACTAGAAACATACCAGTCAAGAGTGAGAATAGAACAGCAAGGTGCAGAGAGGTAGAGCAACAGGGCAATAGTATGCAGAACAAGAAAGAGAGCAGCAGGACAATAGTATGCAGATGCAAGAGAGCAACAGTAATTACTCAATCTTGGCTTTCAGCCGACTGAGTGATCAGTAACTAGTACGAGAAGCAAAGAGAATATGTATGAGAGTAAGAGAGAACTCAGAATGATATCAGTATGCTCTGTGTGTATGTGTTTGTGTATGGCTTAGTGATATTTCGTGTGTTATGCAAAAGAGAATAGAGTATTTATAATGCTGAAAACGAGTAAGAAAAATAAGGTAAGGAGTACTAGTTTTTACATAATTATGGAAACAATAATCAATCAGCATCAATTAAAGACACAGACTCCTCTAATTAGGGAATCAAGTTCAAACGGTACAATCATAGCTAAATAAGGAAAAGGAATCAACTCATAGACTAATTTTAACCTAATTGGATCAGTAACTTCATGTGGCATATAATAAAGGCCAAATACAGAATGTTTTAAACAAGGAAGATATATATTGCACATAAATAAGGTAGAATTCAATCTAGTTCTGAAAAATCAATCAGAGTACCACAGATGAGACTGAAAATCTCGAGAAATTAGTGCTAACTAGGGAAAGCATCTCACAAATAAGGAAGCAATACATAATTATAGGAGAAACACGCAAAAGCATATATTCAATGAAAATGTCACAGTTTTGCGGAAAGATGCATAGAATCGATGGAGTCTTTAGGTAAACAAGTAGTCAGACCTAATAGCCATTAAATAGCACTTAAATCAGAGAAGCCCTAAACAGGGGGTCATAGAACAGTAGAGGATTAAGACTCCTAACAACGAGAATCATAGAGAATACATGAACAGCTTCACAAGAAACAAACACACATAGTCAAAACGGGCTAGAAAGAATTAGCGCTTTCCAGTCTAGTAACTCAGATAGCAATGCAACATAAGAGGATCGTTCAAAATACAGTAGAAATCACTAGACTAGAAGTAAAACCATTTTTTGAAAAGGGGTTAAGAAACCCTAATTTTGAAATTGAACGATCGTTTAAAGATGAGGCTTTTTTTTCAGAGAAAAGAAACGTAGAAAAACTTCGTAATACTGTAGATCTAGAGTAGATATAAAATAAATTGAAGAACATAGGGTTAGGGTTTCGTGGAACCCAGAGAAGAGGAAGAACCTCAGAGATGGCATCGGCTTAAGCCGGAACAGGTTGTAGACCATTACTCAGGTGGCCCGGGAGGCCGGAAAGTGGCATGGGACAATGGGAGGCAAGAGAACCGTTCCGAGCTCGCCTGAGGACCCCAGGGTATCACTGGATCGGTGAGAGGTAAGTAGGTGACCAAGAGATGATGAAGAACCAATGTTTCCGTTGAGAAACCAACCGGCGAAGATAGACAGAACTCATCGGAGGGGAAGAAGTCAAGGAGACTTCTAGAGAGTCACAGAGAGAGATCGAGAGATATAGAGAGAGTGAGTCGTGAAAGAATGAGTCGGGGAAAGGGGGGTAGGTGAGGGTTTAATTAAGGTAACTTAATTTGGGCCGTTGATCTCATTATCAACGGCTCAGATTAAAATATGAGTGGACCGGGTCAACCAGGGATTGGGCTGGGTTGGTTCAGATAGGGTATTGGGCCGTTAAAATTGGGTTTAAATTGGGACTGTAATGTGGCTATAATTGAATGTAAATGGGCTATACGTTAAATAGCCAATTTTCCCCTTTTTATAAAAATAGTTAAAAATGATTTTAAAAATGAATTAAAAGCACTGAACTAATTAATAATATATAAAATTAATCTAAAAATACTAGGAATAATTTTATAATTGTAAAATGCCATTAATCATAATATAGGCTACGATTGTAATTTTATGCAATTTTAGTTTAAAATATCAAATAAATTTGTAAAAAAATGCAAATATCACCTTTATTATATTTTGGTGTAAATATGAGGATGGAAATAAATTATTCACAAGAACGGTAGTTTTAAGAATAATTACGTGATTTTGTACTGCTAAAATAGACAATAAATCGAGTTTATGAATATTAGAAAATTAGGGAAAAATACCAAAACTCTTGGGAATGCTTATGTATGCACACACATACTATTTTGAGTATATTAAATACATAGGAAAAAATTGGGTATCAACAGCTGCCCCTCTTTACCCGGAAAGGATGAAAGAGTTGTCGGGTAAAGATATGATGACCAATTTTGACCGAGAGAGACGGCTTGCAAAAGGTTTTGACCGAGCTCTGGTTTCTGAGCTGCCTACATATCCCTGATTTTACAGGAATCAGGTCATATGTAGTTCAGGTTACATCGACGGACTATGCCGATGGAGGTTTTCGAAGAGACGGGCGCAATATTTAGGTTGGGAAGGGTGGTCAGGGACTGATGGGTTGCGAGAACCGGGG